GGATCTATGTTTTGGATCAATTGCATGGCCTGGAGTGCTTCTGAATTGATTCAGATCGGGTTGACTCATCGAGTCACATGGGTGGACTCGACGAGTTGCTTGAAGATGGCCTGGAACTTTGGCGAGTTGGAAGAACAACTCGGCGAGTAGGTTGAAGATAGCCTTAGACTCGGCGAGTCTGTTCTTGGACTCGGCGAGTCTTGTCGAAGAGTCCCAATACTTCCTGGTTGAGTCGAGAATCGGTGAGTCAAGGGATGACTCGGTGCGAGTGGACTCAGAGTTGTTGGACTCGACGAGTCTTGGGGTGACTCGGCGAGTTGGGTCGTTGATTGAGGAAGATTCTGAGCATAGGGACTCGGCGAGTCATCGGGTTGACTCGGCGAGTAGGGTCAGTCAGGGGTTGACTTTGACTTTGTCCAAGGTTGACCAGTTGTCTTCCAGGGGTATTTTGGTAATTAAGGGTATTTATTGAATTGAATGTTTCGGTGTTCAGTGGAGGAGTTCGTGTCAGGGTTGGAGCAGCGGGATCTTATCCTTTCAGCCGGCAGTTTCGAGGTGAGTTATCCTCACTATATCAACAGGGTCTAAGGCACCAAGGCCGGCCCTTATCGGATTGAGATCCGGGTAGTTGTTATTATTTTGTTGTTGTGATATGCCTGCATCCTGAGAGTTAGGACGGTATATGTTAGAGACCTGATTGAGATCGGTATCCTGAGAGATAGGGAGATGCTATGCTAATGACTTGTTAGGTCGGTATCCTGCTTAGAGTATGTTATGCTATGTGATCTGCTAGATCGGCTTGTTTGAATGTGAACTGTTATATGATTATATGTTTATGTGTACATGGTTGTTTGGACTGGAGATGGGTTGAGGCGGTCCTGCTTTGTGCTGTAGGCCAAGATACTCAGGGCGGACCGGTTGTTCCGAAGGCCCAGCGAGCGGTCCGGATATGCTGTAGGCCCCACGCGGGCGGACCAGACGTGCCGAGGCTCGGAGAGTGGACCAGGCCGACTGAAGGCCCGATGCGGGCGGACCAGTCATACTGTAGACTCAGAGAGTGGACCAGGTGAGTTGAAGGCCCAGTGCGGGCGGACCAACCACACTGTAGACTCGAAGGACATGACTAGACCTGGAGGATGGATCCGGTGGACTGAAGGCCGAAACGGCGGACCAGTCACACAGTAGACCCGATATGCATGGTTGTTCTATGTTCTGTTATGTTATGTATGTTTTATATGTTTTAGACCGGAAGGTCATAGCCTGGAAGGGCGTATGTGTGGTTGGTATTTTGGGGGTATCTCACTAAGCTTTCGGGATTACAGTTGTGGTTTAATATTTTTCAGGTTCTTCAGGAGACTGTGGCAAGGCGAAGGCGTGATCGTACCGCTCCTCATGATTTTGTAGAAATGTGATTCTGGGAATACTCTAAATGATTTTTATTGAAAACCTTTTTGTAAACAATTTAATGAAATCGGGTTGTTTTTGAAAAATTTAAATTGGTTGTATTTTTCGGTTGTTACAAACGATGTGTTCACCGGTGTACTCCATCCCCCACATGGTTGCCTTTAGGACATTTATTGCTAAGGAACCCCCTTAGCAGTAGTGTCCATCCCGATGATAATCCTTAGGCTAGATCCCTTACAATAGGTGTTTTAGGGACGTAAAGTGAGGATAACGGGAATGGGTAATCGGGTTATTATTGGTTGATGAAATTAATAAACTTATTTAGTGCGGGTTGAGAACCCTATGTGCTCACCAGGCTCCCAAGCCTAACTCACTCAGTTTTCTCATATACAGGTAGTGGAAAGAGAGCACAGGAGTGATGATCTGATGAGAGATCAATGGATTATAGGCTACTAGAATAAATAGATATTATAATGCCTATGTTATTTGTGTTTATGCTTTTGATCTGTATTAACAATGATATCCCAAGGTTTTTAATATAATACATTTCTACGGAAATGCTTTGATAAATTCTTTTTTTATATTTTTTGGGAACAAATTCCGCATTATATTTCAATAAAAATATACTCTGATTTTCAATTAAAGCATAAACAAATCGGTCTTTTCTGGCCGTGAATTTGGGGATGTCACAGTAAGTGTCACAATCCTTAGTAATCTTAATCATCAAACATATATTCTTCCATTCATACTTCGGTACAAACATGAAAGTAATGATGAACTCGAGAATTGTACGAACAACATTATACATGGTTCACTTGTAAATGAGCTCATTGAATCAATCATAGTATGTTTCGATAAATTCGTTTTCCTTTTTTTTGAAGTTGGCTAACTCCGATAAGCATTGAGTCACCGATCTTTTATTAGTCCGCTCATTTCCTTGGAATTTTTCCTTAAGTGTGTTCCAGATCTCTTGTGCAGTCTTTCAGCAACGGATGTAGTTATACACGATCGGTGATAAAGCTCCACATAACTCACGAATGCATCTTTTAGCACTCTATTTTTGCTTGTTACCTTGAGCAATCATACCTTTATCTTTACCTGCCATACCAACTTCTTGAAGACGATCAACATGCTATGGACCTTTTTTTAGTCGATCTCCAAAAATCCTCGTTGATTCCAATGAGGTAATCTTCCATATGATTTTCCCACTGATCATAATATTCAGGAAGCAACATCGGAATCTTAGTGGAAGATCCAAGTAGATTAGCATAGTTCATCATGGTGTTAACATTCAAATATTCCATTAAATCGAATTGAAAAGTGGATCAACTTGAAGAAAAAGAAATCATATATAAATGATTGTTTAACGATCTCAGAATCATTAAATCACAGGGATCAATCGAAGAATTATGTTTTCACTTGCGAAAGATTGAATCAGAACAAATGATTTAATAAAATGAAAACATGAATAAGATTCTTCAATCAATATGTCGATTCCTGCTCTGATACCAACTAAAAAGATGTTTTAATCAATCGTTTATGTAATCAGAGTCCAAATGTACACTAGAAAGTAAATAAAATTTGGTTTCAGCTCATATTCATCCGGAGAGGGTACAAGTACATTTGAGAGAAATAAAGTACAATGCACAAGTTGTAAAAGTTACAAATGACTTAGGTACCTACACTATTTATAGTGTACTCGACGGATACAAAAATTATATAAGGACTTCAACAATAAAAGGGAAGTTACAAATGTACCTGATAAAATACATACACTATCGAAGTCATGAAGACCTTCGATAATGATACACCATTCGCTACTAAGACAACTACCAAAGGTTTCAATATATCACAACAAATATGACTCTACACATTGCAGATCCAACTCAGATTAGGGTTATCTTCTTCAACCCCCATCGTCTCTGCTACCACTAACCTCTAATCTCAAAGTCGTGGTCACCTCCATAAAACCCTAATCGATCTAAAGTCATTTTCACGTGAATAGCTAGGTTTTTGTCGCCATCGGTAATCTGCAACCCAAGCACCGTCAATATGGGTTACAATTTTATCTTCGTTTCTGGGTCCTTAGTCTCCGGAAGCATCTCCAGAAAGCTCCAACAAAACCATACACTTTGATTTGGGTTTTCATAGGGTACAAAACTCTCCACCTCTATGCCCTAACTTACTCCTCCCACCTCTATCCAGGATGTGGTCAGACATCTTATTGAAATCGAAGTAGAAAAAAACCCAAAATGAACTCTGGTTACCTTCAAGATGTGATCAGAATTGAAATCTAATGAATTGTAATCGATTTGTGTATATGTGTTTGTCGACTAATGAAGAAGAAGCATAGTAAGACAGAGAGAAACGTACAAAGTCATATTTTCTTGATATCCATCATAAAAATCGAAGCTATTGTTGTTGTATTTTGACTATTTTCTTAGATTATTGCATGTTTTTAAGTGGGGTTTTAATGGAGGTCCCAGTAAGAAATATGAGAGAGAAATGTGTATGATCTTAAAATTAGAGAGAGAGAGAGATTTCTTTTTTATGCTTTTAATTAGAAAAATATTAAAATAAATAAATAAACTGAAAAAAATCAAAAAATATGGACAAAATCATCATTATAAAAAAGTTTAAAGTAAATTGTACCAAACTCACGACAAAATAAAAAGTTTGGACCCTGATGCTAGTCCAAACATTTTTGGATCAAAATGGTAAATTTTAGTTAGCCATATGGACCATTCTTACAATTTTGTCAAAATAGAATATGTTAATATGGAAAAAATTGAAGTTAAATGTATTAAGAAAGGAAAAATCAAATTTATTCCATTTGTATTCTAGTCATTTTCTACAATACTTGGTTAATAATCTACGTCCTAATATGTGTATATATAAGAATTTTATTTGTTAAAATAAATGACCACATCTATCGTATTTATATGTAAAGGCAATGGTTTACGTTTTAAACTTAGGCCATCTCCAATGGATTAAACCATGGAGAGTTGTAAAGATTGACAACTAGGAAAGAGAATATACACATTCATTTTAATTCTTAAAAATTTAATAAATTTTCAATTACAACTTCATTCCATCATTCAATAGTGATTCAACTCTTTACTTTCTCTTCTATATTATATATTTATTTCATTAAACCCTCTTATTATGGATGACCTTGTAGAACCAATTTGGACCAATAGTAAACCATTTCACTTGGGCCAATAGTAAGTTAGTAACTATGTACAATGATGCAACTTTAAGTAGACCACTTGGTTTTTCTATTTTACTATAGCAAGTTTGTTGATTTAAGTAGACCACTTGGTTTTTCTACTTTACTATAACAAGTTTGTTAACAAACCAAAGTAATTCAATAACTAATAACTAATAAGTGTATTTACTTAGTACAGTACAGTGGTCTTTATAAAAAAAAATTAAAAAAACTTTTCTTTTTTACCTAGTCCATGTGCACCTCTATATCAATGTACCGATTTCTTAAATATTTGAAAAAAAAAAATAGAAGCATAAAAAACAGAATTATGATATTATTAGCTAAGAAGCATGTCTGGTCACACTTAATCAACAAAAAAAAAAAAAAAAAAAAAAAAAAGCTCACTGTGATTGATGTTCAGTTGTTGATTTCAAATTGAGATGTAACAAGGAGGAGGAGGGTAACAACACACAACCAAACAACCTCTCATCCATCCATCAACAATCCAATGGCTCAAAACCCCTATTTACACACACACACACCGGTTTCCGGTTAGTCAAAGCTCGATGATCGACTCCACCTCCCTCGAAGGTATTCCTCTATCGAGATGCTTTCTTCAATGCTGCTCATCGAAAGAGACGAATCTTCAATATCAAGTAATGCAAGGTTAAGATGTGACCTTAGATTTGATTGTGAAAACTCTTCGTCTTCTTCTTCTGGTATGTTGGTGATATGTAGTCTTGAGTCCGACCCTCCAGTTGAATCAACTTCTAGCCGGGCCCACTTGGTAACCTCCACATCACCTTCAAGTAGTTTCACAACCTAAAAGTTGGACAAAACATCAATTTATTTGTCCCATTAGACCTAACTCATGCCAAATCCAGTACAATTACAACTACAACCTGATATGTCATGTCATGTCCGACGTAACAAACTAGGCATAAAGTAACAATCAGACTTTCCACATTATGTCCTAACTACTATTTACAAATTTACCCTAATTTACTTTTACCTTCCATTTCCCCATCTACGCTTTCATTTTCTCCAATATTTTCTTAAATGTCATTTATCCTGACAACACTTAATGAGAAAAGGAAAAAGAAAAAGGGCTTACAGTGCTCATGTTTGGTCGAGCACGTGGTGCGCGTCTAATACAGAGGGTAGAAGCGAGAGCCATCCTTTCCATCTGATCAGCATCGTATTCGCCTAAGCTTGGGTCCAACAACCGAGCAAATTTCCCACTATTTAGAATCGGTTTTGCCTGGATATTCATAGATATGTACGTCACTTTTAGTGTCTTGATAAAAACAAAATCCAAACCAACATGTGTTTTTGAGTTACAAGTGGTCAAGTGGACATACCCACATAACCAAACTCTCTTCGCCTTTTGGATATGCACTGCTTATTGGTTTCCTTCCTGTAAGAAGCTCAAGGAGCACAACACCAAACGCGTAGACATCGATTTTTTCCGTAACTTTTCCATGCATAAAGTACTCCGGAGCCAAATAACTGCATCATAATATCATATATTCACCATCGGTAGTTTTTTTAAAACATCATTTATCCAGACAACAATTTATCTGTCTTTTTACTCAAAGTTTGAACAAAAAAAAAAAACTGAAATCAAGATACGAACCCAAATGTGCCGGCAACATCGGTACAAGTTATATTTAATCCATTGGGTGTAGCCCATTTAGCAAGTCCGAAATCAGAAAGCTGAAAATAAGCAAACAGGAATAATCAAGTTAACAATAAATAAATAAATAAAGAGTCGATGTAGTAAATGTATGAAAACAACACCTGTGGCTCAAAATCATCAGACAATAAGATATTTGATGATTTAACATCCCTATGTATAACTGGTTTTTCACTTTTAGTGTGTAGATAAACAAGCGCCTCAGCTACCCCCAAAGCAACCTTGTATCTTTCATTCCATCCGAATCCCTTACCCTTCTTATTTCCTGATTTAACAAAGAACTCCATGAATAAAAGTAACGCCAAAAAAAATCAACATGTGTCTGAAAATAATAATAATAAAATTATTATTCTAACAACCCCGATGCTGGCCCACATTACCACTATGGAACCAACTGGGGCAAAATGGTCAAAATAGATCAACATAATAACACGAAAACTTGTATATACCGTGCAAATTATCTTCAAGGCTTCCTCTTGACAGAAGATCATAAACCAAAAGGAGTTTGGTATCTTCAAAACAAAACCCAAAAAGGGAAATTATGTTTTCATGATGTAAAGCAGTAATAATCTCGATTTCTAACACGAATTCCTTCAACACATCTTCAGATGTCTTCAAGATTTTAACAGCAAGTTCCCTGCCATCAGCAAGACAACCTCTATACACTTGACTGTTCCCTCCTTTACCGATAATATTCTCTGAAAATTTTAACCAAATCGTTATTTAACAGAATAATACAAATTCATATAATATAAGTATAAGAAAAGTTAAATAAACATATGATGGAAACAGTAAAAGGAACAAACCGGGCTTGAAGTTCATTGTTGCTGCTACAAGTTCTTGATATTTAAACAATCTACAACTACTCGAGTATTTTTCATGAAGACCCTCGAGTTCTTCAGGTAAGCTTACTGAATTCCTATTCGAAGAACATGAATCAGATTGAATCTCATCACCATGAACAAGAACAAGAGCTCCATTTTCACCATCTAAAGATCGATCTTTTTTGTTATTATCAACTACACTATCGCGCAAATCCGAATTTGTAATCTGTAACAAGTTTCTAGAAGGCAGCCTCATGGCCCACTGAACCACAGAGATCTGTCGAGCAGGTGATCGATCTGAGGAAAGCCGATTTGAGGAAATGGCTCGACGAAGTAGCGGCCAACCGGGTCTCCGATCGGGTAAATTGTGGGTTGAATTTGATGAAGATTGAAGGTTCTGTATGGGTACTAAAGCCATGAAATTGTCATCATCACTAGCCTCTTCAAGAACACAAGCAGTGTTTGGAAGAACTGAATCGGGTGAACAAATTGAACAATTATATTTGAAACCGTTTTTCAGGCAATCTGAATCGGTTTTTACTAAAGCTATATCGGATTTCTTGCAATCAATTTGATTGCATTTAATTTCCTCGTCGCCGTTATGCAGTAATTTGGGATTCAAACTACGTGATCTATGAATCACACCCAACAATCGTTTTTTATGATGATCTGAATTCTCTGCAAAATTAAATACCCAAAAATTAAAACCAGTTTTTTTTGTTCTTCAAAATTTGCCAGAAATAGTATTTGCGTATTCAATTCACCTTTTGCACCGACATTAGACGGTGATGAAGGAGAGTCCCTGCGGAACACTATTTTGCCATTATTAACCGCAATAATTGCACAGTTCTTTGATAGTTTTCTAGCACAGTATTTTGCTACAGAAGATGACGATTTAATCGCATGATGCGTTCTTGCAGTTCCAACTATAATCTCATTGGCGTCGTAAGATTTCGCTTCTCGTACAAGGATTTTTCGAATTGAAGTACCTCTGCAGATCTTTAGCTTAAGATCCACCTGCACATGTTCGAAGCATAATTTAATTCCATCATTATTACATCGAATAAGTTTAACTAAACCCACAGAATATGTACGAAAATCGAAAGAGCGTACATGAAAGATCAATAATTTACCTGTTTGAGGTTACAAAATCCTTCGTAAACAGCGAGAATGGAGTCAAAAGCTTTCACAAGAGATAGCAGTGCAGATTTCCCATTATTATCCACAATTTCTGCACAAGAGAAAAACCCAATATCATCATTAACCCTAGAATATAACAAAACCCATTATTGTTTTCTACAAAATAATCAAAAACGATGCTCATACCATTGTCGGTTAGAACATGAAGAGCAATAACACGATCACCAGGATGAGCTGCTTTCACCAAAGCCCAAGTGAGTAACTCTCTGCTTTCTGAATCTAATTTCACTCCGACGACTATCGTTCGACCTCCGGCGACATTCTGGTCATAGTACTCTCCGGTGAGCTCTGACTGAGTCATCTTCACAGGAATCTTACTGTTGCAAATATTCTCTACAGATTTCGAGGTAATTTAACTAGTAATTCTTGTGACAAACATTGGGTGGTCATGTCGGGATTAAAAATTGTAGAGAGAGATTCATCAGCAGATGTGTGGTTTATTTGGGGGTCGCTTGGAGGGGATGAAGAGGGCTTTAATCTGCAGCTTGTGGGTTCCACCCCCAGTGTCCATTATTTACTTTTTAATGAAGGGTACAAAATAAAATACTCTAAAAAGATCTGCCGCAAAAATAAAAACGCAAAAAATGTTTTTGATATGATTTTGCTTTCTAGATTTTAATAATAAAAGACTAATATATAAAATCATTATTGTAAAACTGTTCTAATGAATAATAACAATATATTTTATTTATCTTTCAATTCGACAATTCATTTTAAGATTCAACAACAATGTATAAAT